CTGAAACAAACAAATATAAATTCAAACAGCATCTGCTTAAGGTCCCACAGTGTCTCTTCCTAGAATGTTCACCTCTCAGTTGCACTTGAACACTAAGTTTATAACTTTACAACATTTTACATACCTGTATTACACTATTAATTCACCAGTATAACCTTTGTCATTGAAGTCCCTTTTGTGTCCCAAAGTGTCTTCGCTGGCAGATATAAGAGTTTGATAACCGACTTTATTAATCCAGTCTACCTCTAACTATGTAGCCTTTAAGCACCCTCTCTCTGTCCTTTGATATCAACCAACCCTCTGAATCAAACACTTAAATGATGTAATGTAAACATACTTACAAGTCTTTTGAAAAAAACCGTGCAATGTCAATTTAGGAAAAAATGGCGCCATGATGCATTTGTGCATTGGCAATTATTTCTGTATGAACAACTTACAGAAAGTGCAATTAACACAGTTATATTTCATGTAATATATTAAGTTTGAAAAGTAATAAAATAAGATTACCACTATGATATACTTCAAGCCAATACCATGTTTAAATCACCTGCTTTATCTCAAAATCATTCTCATCTAGAGACTGCTACAGACTGGTCTAACTGGCATATATCTGGTTTATTACAAGTGAAGAGGTATACCTTTAAGCTTGTCAATTTACATATTTGGTTTTTTTTACTGAATAGGGATGAGGGGGGCCACAGACACTCCCACATCTATGACCTAATGTTAAACAAAGCTTAGTCGAATGGACTACAGTGCTTTGTTACCATCTGGTGTATTTTTTGGTATATAATCTGTGTACCATTTTGACACTATTTTCCATTAGTGTACATAAGATTACAGTACAGGCGAAAAAATTGGTTGATTCCTTACCATCTTGTACACAGTGTACCTCCGTGCTAGTCTTCTCCACACTGGTCATTTGTCTGATAAAGGTGATTGTGTAGTCTTCGAAACATCACACTCTAATCTTCTACTGATTGTGTTGAACATCTATTCTACTGCTAATTTACCAACAGGTATAGGGGCTAATCGCTGACAAAGAGTGGGGGACAGGACTAATTTTAGTACAAAGGAATAACATTTGTTGTAGAAAAAATATAAGCTTTATTTATTTTAAAACATTTCCTAAACAAGCTGTCAACTTGAATTAGTCACTCTTCGTGTTGGAGACGAATTGAACACAACACAGAAAACCAGAGTACTTGGGCTTATTATAACCCACCTACCCCTACCCTGTAAGGAAGTTAGGGGGTGGGGTTTACTGGAATCAGCTTGTCTGTCTACCCATCTGTCCATCTCCCTGTCTATCCGCCTACACGTCTAGACAACGTCTCCTTAACTTATAGAGAAATTTCAATGAAACTTCACAGGAATGTTTGCCACCATGTGTAGATATGCATACAGGTGGTTTTTTTTTTAGCAGAAATTTGGGTGGCCATGGTAAACAAGTCACGAAACACAAGTTTTCATATAAAATTCCATAACTCTTAGTCCTTTCGTTTATTCTATTTAAACTTAATCAAATGCTGCAGCTAATAATTATACACCCTACAACAAAGTTGGGGGGCGGGGGTTATATTGAAATCACCTTGAATGACCGTCTGACTGTCTGTCTGTCCGTCTGTCCGGAATATTGTGTCAAGTGTATTTAAAAAAGTACTGAAGCAGTGTTTCTCAAACTTGGCACACTACATCCTTATGATATAAAGTTGTTCCCTTTTTTTTTTTTACGTAAGATTTCAAGATTTGTGCTTATTGTCGAATAATCATGGTAGGTCCTAAAGGCATTAACGGACAGGTGGGTCTAGTATGTATGATTCGTGGCAGCAGGCCTTCTGTTGTTTGCACACATGGTTTTGTCAGAAAAAAGCACCAGTCAAGGTCACAATTCTAAACAAGATCAGGTTAAAATAAACAACTACAATGAAGACACAGGATTGTTCTGAAATAAGTGACTTGTCTGTTTCGTGGTACACCAGTCAGCAATACCATTACTTTTAAGTGAACTCTGGAGCTTTTTACCTGTTCTCTTAAATCTGAAGTACAGCTCTGAGCCAAGTTCCTAGCAGATCCATGACTTCTAGCACAAAGTTAGAATATCGTTCTGAAATTTCACAGCCAGCAATATTCACATTGTATTTTGTAAAGAAATAAAAAAGAGAAGACACTGGGCTATGAATTAGGTGGTTTCTGTTATTCCTGTTGTTTGTCTGTGTTGGATCGAGAGAGAGTCTGTCTTGGTTAGGGATATAGGTTTCATTCATTAATTAAGGTGATAATGCCGTTTCAGACTACAGGTGAGGAAGGTACAGGCAGAAAGGTTATAAACGTAGATACACATACTATTGTATGAATGTGGCCTACTAATTGAAAAGTTGTGTAGATTATATGTGGTATAAGAGCTGGGTACTTGAGATAGAGCTGAAACAAGAAAGTCTCTGGTATTGTAATAAAAACAACCATTTCTCTCCCTTTTCCTTTCTAGATATTTCAGTTCTTTCTCTCCATCATTTCACTGTCTTTTCCCATTCATCTTTCTGTTGGTTTTTTTTGTGCAGTCCTGCCACTTGGTGGTCTGTATAGTGTAATTTCTTAACGTATGTTTAAACCTATTTTCTTTTGCATGCTATTTACATCCATGAATTTGTGATTGGAACCAAGACAGAGATGTCAAGCAATAAGTGTACTATTGTCTGCTTCAAGAATGTTCATTGCTTTGGATTTATAGAATTAACTTGTTATTGTAGCTAAAATCACAAAAGTCAGCAGCCATGAAAAACACTTTGTTTACAGTATTAAACTTATTTTCACTTTCTCTCATTCCTTTTTTCTGTCTTTTTTTCTGTCACATATCTTATCACATATACCATATCTCTCATTTTCTTCAATCTATTTTGTTTCTCTTTCCTTTGGACCCCCTTCCTTCCAAGGTTACCATAAGACTTTCCCCCCTCTCAAACTTCCCCTACCAACACCACCACACCACAACCCCAAACTACCACATACCTTGCAGTACTATGCAGACTTGTGCTCATATCAATCACTGAATGACCCAATATTCTTCTCACGGTAATTACTTATAAATTGTTACTTTTTGTGCCTGATATAAAAATAGATACCCTAAGATAAAATTTATTGTACTAATTTTGGTATGATTTTGTCAGACTGTCTGTCAGTTTCTAGACATTTTACACAGTGTTGTCTCCCCTTCTTCCCTTACAAACCTTAAGAAAATGTTGCTACTGTTAAATCATTAATTTTTTGGGGGGATTCATTTTCAGTGATTCCATGGGCAATCTTAATCCCCAAATTCATATGTCCACAAACTGATATGATGAGTTTTAGGACATTTATTTGGCAATATGTATCCACGAAATCAAATCTCCACAAAAATGTGATTTTTTGGGGAAAACAAGTAAAATCAAACCCCACAAAAAAATTTGGTTTAAAAGTATGCTGTTTACATGCTATTTCATAGAATTTCACCACATGAATATATATTTCTGTGAAATTGGACACCATTACAACCTATTATTTTATTGTCTCATATTTAGAACCGACCAATAAATACTTTTCATTTAATGGAACTGGCAACAGAGATGATTCCAGACAAATCCTGTCAGTTTATTGAGAACTTACTTCATGGCATTGAGATAAAACCCAATAGGGAAAAAGATTGCAGGAAGACACTTTCATGTACTTTTTTTGCTTTTTCTTTTTCATTTTTGTGGGGGAGGATGAAGGAGGGATTTACTTGGTGATAAAACTGTCCTGGTAAAGTTTTAGTCAGAAGAGATAGGCTTATCTACCGACTTGGCCCTACAGAGTCCAACACCGGATTTAAATTCAACACACAGCTAAAATTGTACCTTCTCTACCATCAAATTTTTAGGGCCAGAAAATTATCTGGCTATAAAAAGAAGGAAGTGGGGTTATCTAAAGTGACGGAGAATAGATTGATGGAAGCTGACTCAGAAGTTCCCGAGGTTTACATACCCAAAAGCTATTGAACTGGTGTGGAATCGCATACAAACAAACACCGTTGATCCATTTCTAACCAATTTCTGTGTGGCTCTCTAGTTTCCTTCCATGCATAATTCTAAAACGTTTTGTTGTGTTTCTGTCAGTTTTATGGCCGTAGATACAATCTGGTAGATGTTCGGTTCTGGTTCTCTGAATAAAATGGTGATTTTGTGTTGCCAGTATTGGTACAGGATGAAATGGTTTGATGTTTTGGTGCAGTGAGATAGCGTTGTTAAGGTGTAATAGATAGAGTCTGTAATTTATATATAGATGTTGACGGCGTGTTTATCTGATCTATCAGGAAACACTGGAATTCATTTGATTGGCAGCCTGCAAAACAACTCCTTGAAAAGGAAAAAGATATTTTAGTCTCCTATTGCAAGTTTCAACAGAAAAAAACAGCAGAGTCCACCTGTGATGTCATTGTTTACTTTTCAAATTTTATTTCTTTTGTCTATATTTATTTTACAAAAAATGTAAAGCAGATTTTATCAGCTTTACCTGTTTACTTGTTGACTTAGATTGAAACATGTATGCTTGCAGCTAATTCTCTGTTTTATCTGGCAATAAATCCATTCCTGGTAATAAGCCCACCGTGATTTATTACTGTTTAGAAGACCAACAAATGCTATTTTGTTGTTTAGTAATAAGCACACCTCCTTACTTTTGAGTCAAAATTATGTTGTGTCCCTGTTTCGGATAGTGCGATAGAAACATATCAGTCTCCTTTTTAATTTTCATGATGGTTGAGGAAGGCAGGGAAAGTATTAAGTATCCCCTGACCAGTTTGTTAATGTGTTTGATGGATTTATCATCCCATGAACAGACTAGGTCATTTCAAGCCGCATTCTCCTTGTAGTAATTGATTGCTACCTCACTGAACATAATGCTGGAGGCCCTTCCCTTATCATCCAGAGCAGTTGTCATTAAATGGCTTTAACTACAAATCTTTTTAATGACTTTTGTTGTTTTAGACGAGGGACGAGAAGCTATAGATGATGAGAATGGTCTCCCAGTGCTGTTAGATCTTATGAGGAGCCATCTGAAGAATGAAGATCCTGCAGCTAGCAGATTACGTCTGACTGCTTGTGGCTATCTCCTAAACGTCACCAATACTAATGGTAGGTTTATACCCAGGTAAATCCTTACATATCAACAGATCTGGTGACACACCCATGTCAGTGAATAAAACCTGATATATATTTCTTTAGATTATCCTAATGCTGTGTTTGAGTAAAAGTTTTAAATCTTTGGCCACCATTGGCTTATGGAAAACAGTATTGAAGTGACGTCCCTGTAGGTTGGGCTTATTTAAAAGTAAATGAGGAATCTCAGAAAAGTATATAGTAAATTAAACAACAGAAATAAATGTACTTTTTTGTACTTATGAGATGTCCCTATCAGTCGAGCTTATTTCAGGAGAAATAAGGAGTGCTGTAATTTAAACAAAAGAAATATTGTAATCGTTGCTTCCATTGTAGACAAATTGTTGGAGAAAGCTCTAACAGAGGGCGCTCTTGACCTGCTGGAACAGTATGTGTGGCAGCACCGCAGTGACAAAGAGATGTGTAATATGGCTCTCCTTGCCATCGGAAGTTTTGTTGACACTGGTAAACAAACAAACAACAATTTTAGTCTATGGTGTCCAACTGGGATGAATTGTTGTAAAAACCTCAATTTCTTTTTCAAGAACAGCTATGGGTATCTTAGGAGTCTTCAATTCTACCCGCTAATTCATATTTGAATCATTTTGTTTTTGGCTCAGGGTTTAGAGAAAACATATATGTACTTTAAGTGCTGACAGGTAGAAATATTGATACTATGTATTTCTTCTTTAAGTTTGATTGCCCCGGTCTGACTTTGACGTATTCAGAGTAAATTCAGGATAAACATAATGTAAGAACTTTGTGAATATTTAAGTAACTTCTGTTTCTTTGTTTGTAGATTTGTGCCAACATAAACTTCAGTCCTCAACCCTATGTAGCACCATTGTCAGCCTTCTGGACACTAAACTGGCTGACTGCTACGAAAACATGATCCTTGAGCTCTTCATCAGCCTTTCAGAGATTGGTGAGTGATGTATCTAAACAGAAGGAATGAATTGTATCTGGAATGCAAAATGGAAGGCTGGTTGTAGGACAAGAATATGTCTGATTTGTTTTATGTGAAAAGACATGACTTATTCTAGGCCCCTTGTAAAATCTGAGATGATTTCTGTTGATATCGTCTCTGAAGGGGACAATTGAGAACCTAACAATGTAACTAGTCGTGTCACTTAATATTCTGTATCAGAAAACAGCTAAATGTATATCTGTATTGTGAGAGACTTTCTTTAGCGTTTTCTGTGAAGCAGACATTGGAAATTATCAGTACACCATTACAGCACTTTGGACATTTGTGTTTTCTTGTCTTTCTTTCTGTGCAGTAGTTTCTCTGTTTGTGTCCTCTTCAGCTGTTTTGAGGACACCACAATACAATACAGCTGGATCAGAGATGCCTATTTGCCCAGTAACACTTCAACAAAGTTTTGATCGGCTAAAAGTGCCTTTTCGTCTTCTCTTTTTCTGTGCTTTGTTATTTCAACTAGACACTAGTCCTTAAAGATCCTAGGAACCTGTTTTTTTATGGATAAATTGGTTCGTTGGCACTTTAAATGTATCATTTCAGTCATAGATCAATACAGGACATACCGGCCTCAAAAGGCTTATTTGAAGTAGGCCGGAAAAAAAAATTTCAGATCATTAGGTCTGTCCATATTTCATAAACGGGAAACCCTGGTCCAACTGACAAATGATGGGCAACCCTGGCCCAACTGACAAATGATGTGCAACCCTGGCCCAACTTACAAATGATGGGCAACCCTGGCCCAACTGACAAATGATGGGCAACCCTGGCCCAACTGACAAATGATGGGCAACCCTGGCCCAACTGACAAATGATGGGCAACCCTGGCCCAACTGACAAATGATGGGCAACCCTGGCCCAACTGACAAATGATGGGCAACCCTGGCCCAACTGACAAATGATGGACAACCCTGGCCCAACTGACAAATGGAGGCAGACTTACTGTTGTGAGACATACTGTCTTGTTTAGTTGATCACTCTACTTTACCATTGTCACATCTGTATAACCTGAGCACGTACTGTAAAATTGTCTGCTTTTGTGAAGTTTGATTTTTCGTTAGTGTTGAGGGTACCGTAATCTACATATTTATCTGTCCACAGAGTGACAAACAGTTAAAATCACCAGGAATTTTACTACTAGTGTGTTTCACAAGGACAATTTATCCTAGAAATCAAATGTGTAAGAATCCACATTTAGAAATAAAATAGAAATTTAAAAAAACAACAAAAATTGAATCCCACAATAGAAATCTAGAAATTTGTCTGCATTTTCTTACATCCATTGTTTCAGATGACTTGAAGGATATTTTAGCTGATACCAACCTTAGCAGTCATCTCATTCGCATCATCCAATCAAACACTGGTCGCCTTGACGATGGAAGTCAGCAGACGGTCAAAATGGCCTCTGACCTTCTTGTCTTATTGCTGACGGGAGGTAAGTCAGATTGATAAATCATTAGAACTTGCCTGTTTATTCTGTACTAAGCCCAAGGGACCAAACACAAAAACCTCTGTTTCAGAGTTTGGAGGGAATATTGCAGAAAAATGAAAAATAAAAATGTAAGCGTTTTTATTGAGAGGCAAAAGAATTTGGGCTTATTACCACTCACGGATGTATTGATGGGAGAATATGGTAGACATAATTTCTTCAATGTGCTCAACGCATTTTTAAGTAGAACAGTCGAAAGGCTGTAATAGAAGAAAACTGAATTGTGCATGCATTTTGTATGTAAGGATGTATGTTTGATTTTGGAAAAGGATCAATTTGTTTTTGCTCACAATAAAATCATTTACTATCATTGGGCATTTATTTTCATTATTTTCAGGAGTCAATGAATTCTGGAAATAAGGAAACAGTTAAAAAAAGTCAATATGAATATTTTTAGAGAAGTTATTGAGTGCTATTTATTCCTGAAATAAAGTATCAACAAATCAAAATTGACAAAAAAAACACACACAACATACACATACAAATCTTAAATCCCACAAAATGTATTATTTTAAAAGTTATGTTTCCTTGTGTTTAGACAAGAGTATGGAGGTGATGTTTAGTAAGGGAGAAGGACTTGTTTTTGTGGAAACTGTGAAATGGCTGGAAAGTGACTCCGCCCACTTACAACTCTCTGCAGCCCTAGCCATTGGAAACTTTGCTCGTAGAGGTAAGTAGGGATCAGTGGATTTTTGAAAGAAGGAAACAGAACTGTTAGAATTTAGAACTAGAACTTAATATTTGTGTTTTTTATAACAACTTCTCAAGCACATGGATTTACATAGCATATCTTACAGAGTATAAGCAATAAAAATGTATATTATAAAATGTTCATAATGGACATCATCTTTATCGTTCTATGAATAGATAAAACTGCATTGTATTTTCTTTTCTATTGTAGATGAACATTGTCAGAAATTAGTGGAGCAGGGAATTGTTGAGAAGCTCTTGAATGTGATTAGCGCTCAAAGTACTCCAGAAGGGGACATAACTCTACAACATGCCGTTCTCAGTGCTCTCCGTAATCTTGCCATACCAGGTATGTGCTTTTGTTACCACAGTATGCCTTTGATATTTCCCTCCAGATCTTTTCCTTCGATCTTAAAACAAAATTATAAAATATTCATATTTATCTGCGGTAAGATGGGAAACACATTACATCATACTCCGTGTATGGAGTGGGCTTATTACACGCCAAAAAAATTACATTTATTGTGACATGAAATGCCACTTAACTACAAAATATGAGCGGTTTTTTTTTTTACCAGACATTGAGTTATTGATTGACATCTAAAGAAGTACAGCATACCTATTTTGTTTTGTGTGCATTACATTTTTACGAATTTTTGTTATTGAGACAAAATTCACAAAAATTAATGGTGGTAAATTAAAGCATGAATTTTCAGCAATGATTATTGTCTAGTTTGTTTTTTCCTGTAATTGTCTGGTTTTACCACAAACTTGTGATAGGAAAAATTAAAGTCTAGTAGCTGTGAAAAGAGAGTTTGTTTGCACCAATTTTAATATATTATTAATGAAGTTTTGTTGAATTAGAACATAAATCACTCTATATTTCCTTACAGTGAGTAACAAGAGTTTCCTGTTGAAAGCTGGGGTCATAGATGTAGTTCTCTGTCTGATGCCGACAGAAACCATGGCTGTTGTGTTCAAACTTCTAGGTGTTCTGCGAATGCTCATAGATAACCAAGGTAGGTAACTCTTGTTCTCATTTTTGTAAGGATTCGATTTCTTACCAAAGATACTTGTTCTATTGTCAATGGATTTAAAATTACAAAACTATCAGTAGCGTGCACATTTACATCTATCAAATGCGGGAATGATTTTCTCGTAAATTTTCAGCATTTTTATCTTTGGTCGTTGTGAACATGTCACAATGAAAGTGTCCAAATTTTCAAAAAGGCTAAATCAATATCAGACAGATTTTCTATTAGAAAATGTTTTAATTCTTTTCTTCATTGATTTTTATTCTAACATTCTCCAATTTTAGGCTGTTGAAATTGTCTATCATTCATCTCCTTTCTTTTTGCTCAAAACTTGGTGGATCATATCAGGTTGTAGCTTCCCATGGGTCTTCAGGGTGTGCAGTGACACAAAAAAAAAAATCACATCATGCCCGATAAAGCTTGTTTGCTCTTTCTAAAAAAGTTCAAAAGAGTTTCATCTCAAAATTTGATTGAGAAGTTCTCTTGGTTCTTTTCGATCAGATACCAATTGAACTGTGGTCTATACTGAAAACGTAAGAAAAAAAATTAAACTAAATTGTAATATTTTTATCAGTTATTCAATCTGCATATGTGATTTAATTTAAAACTTAACAATTCAGTCTTGCCTGCTCATATTAGTTACATCACATCCAAAAATTCTTACTGTAAAATTGTTAATTTTCATTGGGAATTTGTTTTCGTCAATTTTGATAGGGCTCTTGATCCCCAAATTTTTATGACCACAAACTAGATTCATTAGTATAAGCTCATTTGTTGATCTATATTTATCCACAAAAACCATGAAAATTTAGCCCCTCGAATATACATAAGTTCACAGTATAAAACATACAGGCTTTGCTCTACTATTTAAACTGGCTCCTTGGTTTTTGCAACCTACCATCTGCATGGTTCAGGACTGATGGTGCCTTAAATATGGAGGAAACGTTAACATCATCATCCTTTTTTCTTGTGGTTAGGAACATGCAAACATGATGTGGGCCATATCCTGATTAAAAAATCAACTACTACCTTGTAAAATTGATTGACACTGGTTGGTCCTGGGTTGATAGTGGCCGAGATTGTAGGTTTTCTGATTGGCTGAGCTAAGGGATGGTATTGGCGCTATCTCTGTCGGAAGTGTCAGTCGCACAACATAGATCTGATTACATAACTGTTGGAGATTACATAAAGGCTACCTCAACGGTCTTGGTTTTTCTTCATTCTGTATTTTTTTGTCGGTTAAGGGCTTCATGCTGAAGCAAGATTGTGATTGAGAAACTTCAAGAATTCCTTTGCTTTGTCAGTGTATAGAAAAAGATAATGGACTTGGCTTCTGTAGGTTTTATGGTAAAATACGTCAATGTCTCAGGATATTTCGATATTTTTATTGAATTTTCATATCTATTTTGTTAGATATTGAACAATATAGGAACTTGACCTTTCTCCAATACCATTGCATCAATTTTGAGGGGGTTTTAATTTCATTATTTTTCCTCTCTCTGTTAATCCATAATTCATTTGTCAACAAATAATTTAGTACAATGTGTTAAAGTGAATTTTGTAAACACAGGTTATCCATTGGCCCCAGAAAAATATATAGTGTTAGAAAAACTGAGAAATTTGAGTCTCAAGTAAAGCATTTTACTGAAAAAAAAAAAAATATGTTTTCAAGTTTTTCGTAAACCGGTTTGAGGTGAATATCCTGTAATGAATTCAATATGTTCGATTTCAAACGGAGTATGTTTTTGCACATTCCCAGAACCGTGTTCTATTTCCTGCCAATAACAGTTCAGGAAATGAGTGTATTACATGAAGTAATGGAAAGAATAAAAAAAAAGTTAATTTGAAAAGTATTGGGGAGCCTTTCTTTTAGCAGGGTTTTCCAACAGCTGATGACATTTTCTGATGTTAAAGGTACCTCAACCGTTATACGAGATTTTATTTCAAATTTGATATGAATTAGAATAGTGTAATAGAAATGATTTGAAGCGTTTTGATTCTAAGAATGTTCTGTTTTCAAGTTATTTGTTTAAAAATTCAGAAAATATACCACACGCAACTTTCTCTTTTGGATTTCAAGCTCACGAGAACCTTCTTATGAGTATTACAAGCACAACTGTAACACATTGTATGGAGGTTGTTGTTTACAGAGGTGCTGGGTGAGGGTAATTTGTTTTCCCTATAACTGTCAGTGCGAGTTGGGAATGAGAAGCTGGTAGGGTGAGAATTTGGTATTTATAACGTCTGGCGGATGTGGCTGAGTTTAGATTAGTTTGTCATTTTCATTCTTGTTGATGGCAACGAAGTCTGTGAGATGCAGTACCAGGTAACTTGAGTCTACAGAAAATCCTTTTAAACTATGTTTTAACTGAAATCAATAAAGACGAATATTAGTTTCACAATAAAAATAAAAATCATCATGGATCAATATTACTTGCTATTTTGCTGTTTAAGTCAATATTCAATTTCACCAGCCATCAGCTTTCATAAATCAGTGTTAACTCTCCAAGTCTTGGGTCAATATTTACTTTTATAAGTCTATATAAGCTCATGAGTCAGTACTCACTTCACAAGTCATCAACTTTTACAAGTCGTTAACTTTCATAAGTCATTAGAACAGTCAGCAACATGAGTCCGTATTCACGTTCACAAGTCATTAGCTTTAACAAGTCGTTAACTTTCATAAGTCGTTATAACACTCAGTAACATGAGTCATTATTTACATTCACAAGTTGTTATTTTTTACAGGTCATTTGTTTTTACAACTCATTATAACAGTCAGTAACATGAGTTAGCATTAAATGTCATGAGTCAATGCGGACTCAATTTCCTGAGAAAGTACAGAAACTGCATTTATTTATAAAATGTTAGAACAATTCTTTACACATGATCTTCACTGAAGATACAAAAGACCTATTTTATTACATGTATCATAATTTTTGTTTTATCTTGATAGAAATTATCACATCATGTTACAGTATTAACAGAATGCATGAACATTAATTTTTTACATTCAATGATGCAGATGTAACACTGAGATATATGACGATGACAGAGTCAGTATATCTTGTTTCGAGATTAGTTTGATTTGATACAGAGGTCTGGTTATATCAAAGCAGAGATTTTTCGGCATTTTTTCACTGTTTAAATCAGTCTTGGAATGCCAAGAAGTAATTTAACATGGTCAGGTTTGTATTGCAATTTAAAGATATGTATTAGTTACACCCAGCATAAATTTCACCAAAATGGAGATTTATATCTTAGTACAAGAATTTAATCAGTCCATAATTTTGAAACGTGACTTTAAATAAATGAGGGAAATTTAGTTTGTGTTTCAAGTCGGAGGGTTTCCTTTACAGTTGTCTCAGAGAAAAAATGTCATAATTTAAGGCCAGTATAGACAGGTGTCTAGAACAACAGGGGCCAGTTTAGACAGGTGTCTAGAACAACAGGGGCCAGTTTAGACAGGTTATAAAAGTATTACTGTATCCTGTAATAAGCCCAGATGGCCAGCACATTACACTGGACTCAACTGTCAAAGAATGACCTCTGTACAGGGAAATCAAATAACATTATAGATTTTTTACATACAGCAATATGTATGGGGTGGGCTTATTACCAGACATGATCTGGTTAAGAAAATAACTGTGTAGCATTTCTCCATTAGACCAGATTCCTTTTATTAAAACAACAAGAAAATATGTCTTCTTGTAAAAGGTGGAGAAAAATTACACCATTGGAAATGTAGTGAACGTTTAAATCATTGTTAACTGTAAAGGTGATGTGTTTCCTTGAATATAAGAGAAATTTCTGAAAAAATAACATTTTTGTTAAATCTATTCATTCATTTGGTGAAGTTGACTTTAGATGGGGTCAAAGAGTTTAGCTATGTGCATTTGGATGATAAAACTGATCTAGTTTTGATGGACCAAGCACCAAGTGTGTAATCGACTAAGAATGCAGAGAGAGAGATACGTAATTGTGATGACCTCAGCCTTGCTCCCAGTTCTCAAATGAATTACTGATGATAAGTGTGACAGAACCCAGGAGCACTGCAAATCTGATGGAAGGACAGAGAAGATAGAGTGGGGTGAAGGATGGGGAAGGTGTGGGGGACAGATAGAGTTAGGGGATAGAGTAGGGAGGTGGTGGTATTGGGGGGAGGGGAGATAGAATAGGGAGGTGGTGGTATTGGGGGGAGGGGAGATAGAATAGGGAGGTGGTGGTATTGGGGGGAGGGGAGATAGAATAGGGAGGCTGTTGTTTTGGGGGGAGGGGAGATAGAAGAGGGAGGTTGTGGTATTGGGGGGGGAGGGGAGATAGAGAGTGTCAGCCATTCTCTCAGTTAACCTAACATTTGTTTATAAACATACCTTCACGAACAAGTGGCATTCCTTATCTGATATTTTCCTCTTCAGTCTATTACTTAACTTCCATCCCCTATTCTGTTTCAAGTTTCTGTCAATCTCTTGTGTTCTGTTGCTTTTTTCTTTTTCTGTCTTTCTTAATTTATATTCTTTCCATCTTCTTTTCGTCTTTTGTCTATGCTTTTCTGTCTGTTGCTTTCAGATCTCTCTGATAGTCTTCCTTTTACTTCTTTTGCTCTCAGTTTATTCCTTCTGTCTATCTTCTCTCAGTTTATTCCTTCTGTCAATCTTCTCTCAGTATATTCCTTCTGTCAATCTTCTCTCAGTTTATCCCTTCTGTCAATCTTCTCTCAGTATATTCCTTCTGTCAATCTTCTCTCAGTATATTCCTTCTGTCAATCTTCTCTCAGTATATTCCTTCTGTCAATCTTCTCTCAGTATATTCCTTCTGTCAATCTTCTCTCAGTTTATCCCTTCTGTCAATCTTCTCTCAGTATATTCCTTCTGTCAATCTTCTCTCAGTATATTCCTTCTGTCTATCTTCTCTCAGTATATTCCTTCTGTCTATCTTCTCTCAGTTTATTCCTTCTGTCTATCTTCTCTCAGTTTATTCCTTCTGTCTATTTTTTCTCAGTATATTCCTTCTGTCTATCTTCTCTCAGTATATCCTTCTGTCTATCTTCTCTCAGTTTATTCCTTCTGTCTATCTTCTCTCAGTATATTCCTTCTGTCTATCTTCTCTCAGTTTATTCCTTCTGTCTATCTTCTCTCAGTATATTCCTTCTGTCAATCTTCTCTCAGTATATATCCTCTGTCTATCTTCTCTCAGGATATCCCTTCTGTCTATCTTCTCTCAGTTTATCCCTTCTGTCTATCTTCTCTCAATATATTCCTCCTGTCTATCTTCTCTCAGTTTATCCCTTCTGTCTATCTTCTCTCAGTATATATCCTCTGTCTATCTTCTCTCAGTTTATCCCTTCTGTCTATCTTCTCTCAGTATATATCCTCTGTCTATCTTCTCTCAGGATATCCCTTCTGTCTATCTTCTCTCAGTATATTCCTCCTGTCAATCTTCTCTCAGTATATTCCTTCTGTCAATCTTCTCTCAGTATATTCCTTCTGTCAATCTTCTCTCAGTTTATCCCTTCTGTCAATCTTCTCTCAGTATATTCCTTCTGTCAATCTTCTCTCAGTATATTCCTTCTGTCTATCTTCTCTCAGTATATTCCTTCTGTCTATCTTCTCTCAGTTTATTCCTTCTGTCTATCTTCTCTCAGTTTATTCCTTCTGTCTATTTTTTCTCAGTATATTCCTTCTGTCTATCTTCTCTCAGTATATCCTTCTGTCTATCTTCTCTCAGTTTATTCCTTCTGTCTATCTTCTCTCAGTATATTCCTTCTGTCTATCTTCTCTCAGTTTATTCCTTCTGGCTATCTTCTCTCAGTATATTCCTTCTGTCTATCTTCTCTCGGTTTATTCCTTCTGTCTATCTTCTCTCAGTATATATCCTCTGTCTATCTTCTCTGAGTATATCCCTTCTGTCTATCTTCTCTCAGTATAATCCTTCTGTCTATCTTCTCTCAGTATATTCCTTCTGTCTATCTTCTCTCAGTATATATCCTCTGTCTATCCTCTCTCAGGATATCACTTCTGTCTATCTTCTCTCAGTATATCCTTTCTGTCTATCTTCTCTCAGGATATATCCTCTGTCTATCTTCTCTCAGTTTATCCCTTCTGTCTATCTTCTCTCAGTATATATCCTCTGTCTATCTTCTCTCAGGATATCCCTTCTGTCTATCTTCTCTCAGTATATTCCTCCTGTCTATCTTCTCTCAGTATATTCCTTCTGTCTATCTTCTCTCAGTTTATCCCTTCTGTCTATCTTCTCTCAGTTTATCCCTTCTGTCTATCTTCTCTCAGTATATATCCTCTGTCTATCTTCTCTCACGATATCCCTTCTGTCTATCTTCTCTCAGTTTATTCCTTCTGTCTATCTTCTCTCAGTATATATCCTCTGTCTATCTTTTCTCAGTATATTCCTCCTGTCTATCTTCTCTCAGTTTATCTCCTCTGTCTATCTTCTCTCAGTTTATTCCTTCTGTCTATCTTCTCTCAGTTTATTCCTTCTGTCTATCTTCTCTCAGTTTATCTCCTCTGTCTATCTTCTCTCAGTTTATCCCTTCTGTCTATCTTCTCACAGTATATATCCTCTGTCTATCTTCTCTCAGTATATTCCTTCTGTCTATCTTCTCACAGTATATATCCTCTGTCTATCTTCTCTCAGTATATTACTTCTGTCTATCTTCTCTCAGTTTATTCCTTCTGTCTATCTTCTCTCAGTTTATTCCTTCTGTCTATCTTCTCTCAGTTTATTCCTACTGTCTATCTTTTCTCAGTTTATTTCTTCTGTCTATCTTCTCTCAGTATATCCTTCTGTCTATCTTCTCTCAGTTTATTCCTTCTGTCAATCTTCTCTCATTATATCCCTTCTGTCTATCTTCTCTCAGTTTATTCCCTCTGTCTATCTTCTCTCAGTTTATTCCTCCTGTCTATCTTCTCTCAGTATATTCCTTCTGTCTATCTTCTCTCAGTATATATCCTCTGTCTATCTTCTCTCAGTATATTTCTTCTGTCTGTCTTCTCTCAGTTTATCCCTTCTGTCTATCTTCTCTTAATATTTCCCTTCTTTCTGTCTTTTTTTCGGTATATCCCTTCTGTCTCTCATCTCATATTCTTAATCATTTATGTTTCATTTTTCTGTCTATCTTCCATCCTGTGTCACTTTGTATTTTCTCTTTTTGATTGTCTTTATTTTTCTTTCATTCTTCTTACCAAAGTTTTTTTCTCACTCTGTCTTCTTATTTTTTCTTCATTTCTCGTCTTTTTCATTGTCATTGCTGTATTCATCTTCCTGGATAGAATATCACACATGTTGACACTGCTCTCTTCATTATCTGAGGCTATTACATAATTTAAAGGTCAAGGTCACTTACTACCAAAGGAAAATGATGGTCATCAATGCTATATAACATCTAACATCATTTTATTTATGTAAGGTCAAAGGTAAAGGTCACTTAATACAAATGCATCCATTAGTCTTCATTATTCTTTCACTCATGTCTTCACAGTACATACATTATCTTTCCTTCTTTCTTGGTCTCCATCTCTCATTCTCTCAGTCTTCTTTTATTCTGTTTCTTGCAAATTTATCTTTACCTTGAAATTAACATCACTTTTTTTCTGACAGAAAACAATAATATACTGTATTCATCCCACAATAAGCCCAGTAGGCTAGTTCATTGTGATCCTGAAGAATGATGAGAGAAACCACCAGGCTTTGTTGCTGGATAAATAAGAATGAAAACATTTTGTTTTTTGTTTCCACAGAAGCAGCAGCAGTACAGCTTGGAAAAAATCGAGAATTTGTCACAAGGCTTGTGGAGTGGTGTGATGTAGATGAACATGCAGGGGTCAAAGGTCAGTAGTTCAAATATTGGTCTTAGTAAAGGTATAATTGTCTGAATTATGAAAAGGTCTTACAAGATATTAACATTTTTGTTTGTTTGTTTGTTTGTTTGTTTGTTTGTTTGTTTGTTTGTTTTGCTAATCACCCAGAGAACAGCAAAGATAGTTTTAATGCAAAGTTTCCTTAAATATAGCTTCCTGTTTATTGTTCAGACAGGTAGCCACTGGCTTTTACAAGGATACCTCACCTCTAAATGACCTTGACTGTTGAAAGGGCAATCAAAACCACTGGAAATATTATGTACTGTATATTAGTAGATAAGTGGGACTTGATGCTGTTAAATGAAAATTGTGTTTAACACAATAGATAGATTAGAGGTAGTTCATTAATAAGCCCAGATATCCCATTCATAATCTCGGGTCAAAATCAGGGGGTGGGCTTATTACAGGACAATAGTGTTGACATTGTTATTTTAGACTTACAACAGTACTAAGCAACCAATGTGATGATAAGACTATAAATAGTCCTGCCATTTTTGTGATGTCACAATGTTCTTGGCAGTCAATTTGTGTTTTGACTGTTTCCATTGCTAGAGATATATCATGGTGTATGATGAGGTTTGAACTCATTAAAACCAGATACATAATAAGTATTGGCCAAAATGTGACTGGTAACGTAGATACAAATAATAAATTATTTTCTAATATAATTACATTAAATATGATTGCCAGATGCCTCCCTGGCAAATTTTCCTTGAAACCCTAGTGGCATTGGCCAGGAGGTCACTTGTAGTAATTAAATTCAGAAAACACTTCATTGTTAATGATTTAAAAATTCTTTATTAAAATTCTTTGTTTCCCAGGAGAGGCTACACGATTACTGGCATCACTCATTAAAAACAGCCACTCTTCAGATGTCATGAGGAACGTTGTGAAAGCTGACGGGATAGAACACCTTGTTGCTATGACTGTGTCAGAACATGTCGTCATGCAAAATGAGGCTCTGGTGGCCTTGACCATGATAGTATCAGCTGTTTTAGGTCAGTTGCATTAGATTGTACAAAAAAAATTACATCATATTTTCAAGACCTACAGAATTAGTATTTTATTGTGTGAAAAAAAATTGATATTTTGATGGACACAAAAATTAATGATATAAAAATTTACATGAATTTACAAAGAAAAAAAAAAGAAAAACACTTTATTTCAAAGATTTATTAAATTGTTGTGTTCAAGATGTTCAACCACATGAAAATTTTGTAAGAGATTTTCAAAACATTTCAGTATCAGTAATATGTACAAAATTTTTCATTTCAACATGCACAATATCTGTGCAGTACATGATTGTTTCAAGGTATATATAAAGATTTCGATGTGTAAAGAGATGGAATTAAGAATGTGTTTACTCGTTATTTATGACCCCAGATTAGCTAGTATGTATAATATATAAAGAAAGTTAATATATCTGTTACATGGTTTACAAAGTGCAGATTATATTTGAAGATCAAATTTCAGAAATTTAATAAGAAAAGATTGATTCATAAATTTAGTTTGTTGATAAATGACTTAATTGATTTGTTAAGACATATGACCTTGACCTTTAATGACCTTGATGTTTACAGAGGATGTAGCCCTGGCATTAAAGCAGTCAGACCTGACTGAATCTATTACCAGTATACTACAGAAAGACAACGCCATCCCGGAGATCTTATGCAATACGTTGAAACTCACCAAGATCATTTGTTCAGCAGGTAACTCTAGCACTGATTAATTATGGACATTTCAGTCTGAATTTTTTATCAGACTGAACAAAATAAATCTTTAATGTGGTCACCTCTTTCAAAAAATTGGCTGGTATTCACCTTCATTGTTACTATACATACAGGGAAACACTCGCTGTATGATTTTGTTCACTTTCACATGAAATTTTCACTCGTTATTAAATTCATTGTAAATATATGAACCTTATATTTCAATTTTAAGATACTACTTAAGGAGACCTTTTGTTTTTCTCATATTTAGGAAAAAGAGAAAATTTAAGAGCTGTGTTTCTGTAAACAGTATGGTAGAGTGGAGTTCCTGGGTGCTCTGTAAATAACTTTATATGCTAATAAATTTTTGAACATTATTTCTTAAATGAATAGGCAAGCTGATAGAATATGTAATAAAAAAAAACACATACACACAGTAATCCCCTCTCCATCCCAACATTAGTGACCGATATAATAGGTTTCTTGATATCTGCTAAAGAAAGAGAGTTATCAGAGATAAAAGTGTTTTTAATGGGATCATTGTTTTATGCAAAATAAGTAAGCATCTAAAATGATGAAAAATATAATACTACAACAGAAATGTGAAGGTAGAGATTATTTTCTTTAGATAAGTCTAGAACATTTCGTTGCAGTCAGTTTTCAGTTTCAGAAGTTCAATGAAGTCAAAATAATATTATATTATTTATTTATATTATTTTAAATTATTTTAGAATTTGATTATTGAGCTATTTTTCAAATTTAGATTTCTAACTGATCTATGCTTCTACCTGGTAGATTGGATATTCATCCATGTATTTTGAAAATATAGTAATAAGGTCAACATTATGGAGGTCAAGGTTAGATAAGGTCAAGGTCAGATAAAGCAATCAATGTTAAATCACAATTTATGTTTAGTCTGTTATAATATACAATAATTTTTTATCAAATAGCTGGATTATTTGTAATTCATGGGAGTTTTAGATAATCAGTTGATCAATTTGATTACAAAAAAACTTTTCTAAAGCCTGTTTTGATAATCCATGACATTTTATAACTAAAATTCATTATTGCCCTTCATCCTGACAGTTTGCGACCGATATCTTTCTGCGATTTGTTTTTCTAGTCTCACTTATAGTTTTATTTACTAATTTTAATTGTGTGGGGAAAAGAGTTAATTTCTAACATGTGTGTCTGGTGTGTGCTTAGTAATACTTACTGATTTTAATTTCGTTAGAAAAAATTAACTTTTAACATATGTATTAAATTGTAAAATTGTACTTTCATGTTGTTGGGATGTGTTTCTTTGTTAATCAAGATTCACCATCAATCTCATCAGTATTTTTTTCCTGCTATGTCTCCAGTATTCATAAAGCATAATTGTGCAATTAATATCTTTTAATGAAATTAGTCCCTTGAAATTTAAACCCAAGTCATTTTGGGACAATAATCACAGAATTTTTGTGTTTATTCATGACTTTCTACTATGGTATTACTAATAGAACTTTTCTTTCTTAGAGGTACAAATAAAAACACTGGAGCTATCTACTTAAATATCAACAACTGGGTGAAAATTGAATGATCAATGATATATATTTCTCCTTAACCGTCTTATACCCTGAAATATCATTTCTACATACCGAAAACTTGTCTTAAGAACTTTCCAGCTTGAAGTCAGATGCTGTACCAAGGGAGATAACTCTAAACATATTGCTTCTATTTTGTATGATGTGAACCTATATTAACCTGAACAGCCCTCCATATTTTGAAGACAACCTGCTTTTTAGGAATTAACCTTTTGTGCTTGCAGATTGATATTTTTTCCCCCAAAAGAAACCTTTTTCCTACGGATATATGTGACACATCACCTTTTCCATCGCTATTTGTAAATATTGTCCTGTTGTATTTTTAGCTTAATTTTTCAAAAGCATTTGCTTGATATTAATTTTCATCAATTTTTTTTTTTATAACAAAAATTCAAGTATATTGTTGTAACCTACTGCAGATTATAAAATTGCTGTCATGTCTCAAAGAATTTTCTTTTAATTTCGAATTATTTGATTTTATCTTTTTTTTTTTTTTTAATTATGTGTGTCCTAGCAACAAGATAAAAGGCTGACCAATCAAATCACTGTTTACTTTGCAGCAACTCCTCCCACCAATCAGATGATTCCTTGCAGCATCCTGGCCTGTGCTGGTTTGCTTTCTGATATGCAAAGTATGGACTTTCGATGTAGATTTCTTTGTGTTGTTGAGTAAAATTTTGTGTTTCATTTTTTCGTGCAAGTAAGCATGACGTTGTTTTATTATTTTTCAGACATTAGCTGTTTTTTTATTGTGATCCTGCTTCACTGATTATTGATTCATGTTTCTTCTTTATTTATGTAATTGTTTGTTTACATATGTTATTTTTTGTAGATGTTTACAATTTGCTTTGCTTGACACAATTTTGTTTACAAGATATTGTCTTCAAATAATTGTAAAAGTGTTGATTACAAATCTGTAAATGTGTACCACTTTCTCTCTTGTTTTCTTTACATGCCACATGTATCTTACACTAAGCCCATGCCTGGTAATAAGCCCACCCATATATATTGCTGTTAAGTAATAAGTCCACCCATATATATTGCTGTTCAGTAATAAGTCCAGCCATATCTATTGCTGTTCAGTTATAAGCCTACCGATATCTATTGCTGTGATTAATTTTGAATATAAAAAAGTAGATTGTTAAAATTATGGTGACCTTTTAAGAGGGCAAAGGAAAAGTCAGACAGGACATTCTTTAGTTTTTGAAGTTTTAACATCCATGTGCATTTAATAAAATGTGAAACACGTAGTTGTTCATAAAAATTATCGTATTGGAAAATTTTTGAATAAGTTGCTGGTTCATAGTTTAAGAATAAAAGGCATTATGAAATTTAAAACAATGAAAACATCCTAGAAATCAGCTGCAGTCTTTGTTTTGATAGGTATGGCTTCATTTTGGAGAATTACTTGTGTGCAACTTTAACGCTTCTGACCTGTGATCAGTTGATTAATATACAGTTAAGTTAAAGTAGATATTTATGTTTATCTTAGCACCAAACCTCTTTTGTATACAAGCAACATACTTAAGCAGCAAGACATTTCTGATTCATGATTGTGACACACATTCATCATGTCATCATAATGACATAGCCATGATGTCATGATTCTAGTCTTGTTCTGTCTTATTCTTTCAATTCCTTCAATTCCTTCATTCTTATTGAATTTGAATTCCATAAATTGGTTTGCATTGATCTTGATCTGGATGTAGCTAAGATTTAAGAATAGAAAAACAAACATCATCAACATTAAACTGTACACCTGTGTTATAATTCATATCTGTGGTATAAATCTATACTGTACACCTGTGGTATACTGTTCACCTGTGGTATACTGTACGCCTGTGGTATAAATCTATACTGTACACCTGTGGTATAAATCTATACTGTACACCTGTGGTAACCTGTGGTATACTGAACACCTGTGGTATACTGTACACCTGTGGTATGAAACTTATACTGTACACCTGTGGTATACTGTACACCTGTGGTATAAACCTATACTGTAAACCTGTGGTATACTGTACACTTGTGGTATACTGTACATCTGTGGTATATTAACACCTGTGGTATACTGTACACCTGTGGTATAAAACACATACTGTACACCTATGGTTTAAAATTTGTCTCATTTAAAAGACAAGTTGTGTTTACATCATGGAAACCACCTGATTGGTATTAAGAAACCACTTGTGTTTAAAGGTCACATGACCTGTATTAAGAGGCCACTTGTGTTTAGAGGCCACCGGATCTGCATTAATAGGCCACTTGTGTTCAGAAGCCACCTTATCTGTTTCAAGTGTTCACTTATGTTTAGAAGCCACCTGATCTATATAATTTTGTGTTACAAAAAAACGACCTGTGTAAGGAGACAATGAGTGTATAAATAACATTTTAGGTCTACTATCTATTCAAATTGTTATCGCTAATTCTTGAAAATGGCTTGGTGGATCTTTCTAAAATTACATATGTAGGTTCCGCTTGGTCCTTAGTTGTGCCCATTTGATTTTGGGTCAAATAAGAAAAACAAAATGGTTGACAGGCGGTCATCTTGGATTTTTTTCAAGAAAGTTTGTTGTTGCTATTTCTTCCATGAAATGTTTATTTTTTGTATAATTAAGCGCAAAAAAAAAAACAGTGGAGATAAGAAAAGAAAGGAAAAGATTCATTTTTAAAGAACAATTAAAGATCAAGTAACAGTGGGCCACGATCCCTCTGGGATCTCTTGTTTAATATACCATTGTAGTTATTCTTAGACTAAAGAACAAAGAAATCACCTGACCAGTCTCGAGAGTATTTTATAAAAACAAATTTTACTTATTTGTAGATTTCAAAGTCCTGAGTTCAATAAGTAGAGACTATAATTGAAATGTTTGTGTTACAGGTACATTAAAGGAAGATATTGCGACATCTGGTATTGCCGGCCTGACGGAGAAACTGACCAGACACGAGGATGAAAAGGTAAAGGAGGCTGCTTCATCCCTTCTAACCACCATCCAGATACTGACCACAGAAAGATGACCATCAGATCTCGCCTCTCAATGAGAATTCAAACAAGTATTGCATCTGTCCAGGGTTAGCAGTTTGTAGCTTTGTAAACATGCCTACGTTTTGTGTTATCACTTCATGTTATCTGGAGTTTTCTCCCTAATATTTGTTTGTCACCTGTCATTGATGGGAATCAAAAGATGAAACCCTGACATAATCTTAAAAGGTATTGCCATGCATTCATTTTATAATAGGTTTTTTTTTATATATATATATATATTTTGTTGAAAAAACTATCATTTTATATGTATTGAAAAAGTGCTGTAACCATATCTGAATGTAGTATAATTTCATTTTCTACTTTCTGGATTAGAAATAATATACAAATGTTTATATATCCTTTTTTAAATTTCATTTAATTTTCTAATTCTTTAGTCTTAAAAAAAAACACCATAGTAAACCAAATCTAAAATGGCTGTTTCTAACACAGTCGGGGAAAAAAGTACAGCATTTTAAAATGAAATATTTTGTCATCTTTTATGGCAAAACAGGGTACCAGTATTGCCAGGGTAAAAATTACCTAAGATGGTGACATCCATCCTTTTAAACATGTATAATAATGATTTTAAATGTTTTAACCTCCATATGATTATTAAATATAACTTTTTAAAATGTCCTAAGGCCTTGAGAGCATGATAAGTTAACATTAAATTAAAACAAGTATTATATACCATGTATAAGTGGGAAAAATAACCATTTTTATGAGAATACTAATAACCAAATCAAGTTGATTTTAAAATATGTTATTAAGATAATTACTACAGGTTAGAAGTTAAGACAAAGTGCAAAAAAAATTTCACCATCTTTTTGTCTTTAAGGAAACACCTTCTTATGGCCTGTTGTTGTGTCTATATCTCCAACAAAGAATGTTTTCATTGCGGTGTGTTTTCCTCTTTGTTTGAGTCGCCTGCTCCTTTTACTGAAGAGAAGATTTACATACAGAGCAAACACATATAAGGATTTGTTTTGAGAAAAATCTACAAAATTTCCAGCAAGGTTTTTTAATCCTTTTGGTTAAAACATCTAAGTGACCATCTTAAAGCCATTGATAGTTTAACAAAGCTTATCCATTGTATTTCTGACCATATTTTTTTAATTTGGTGAAACGTCACTTGAAATGATTTTATAAGTGTGCAAACTTCCTAAAAAGGCCAAACATCTGTAAATATTCAGATTCTCGTGGTTTGAAGTTTGTTATTTATAAACAGTATGATTTCTCTTTTCCTGCCAGTGAAGGGTGGCACGTCCGTCCTGTCTCAGTCTGTATTGTTGTTATCACTTTAATGTTTCATCGCTTTAAGGGATTTTTAGTAAACATCATACAGAAGTAAGGATAAGTCTAGGACAGCTTCCTACTTTATCACTATGTTTCCTGTCAGGCATTTTACACAAACCAAAAAATCTCATGTTTTAAAATTTACTCTTTTTTGAAACAGAATTCCCCCAATAAAGAAGTTCTTGTGTCAAATAAGCAACAACATTTTGGTACATGTCTTTTGTAAGCTTATGCAGAAATATTTTGATGTATGTAAATTTAACTTTTTGCTTTTATTTATAAAACAAAAAAGAACAATTTCCCCTCAGTCCAGAAAATATTCCCCAAAATCGAATCGATCCCAGCAAGGTCAGTTACAATTATTCCTGAGATGATTTCATGTTTCAGGGTTTAGAGGTCAAGGCTATCATTACTATATCAGAACTTTGTCAATCATTGATACTTAATGGCATCAAAGCTGGGACATACTTGTCTCATTCACTATTGAAGTTATTTTATATCAAAATAGAAAAAAAATGTACAAGGGTTGCTCCTATATTGTTATATAATTGATTGACCAATCAAATGTCATATTGTGAGGTAGCTAGGGTTTATTGACCAATCAGATGTCATATTGTAAGATAGCTAGTGTTTATTGACCAATCAGATGTCATATTGTGAGATAGCTAGGATTTGATTGACCAATCAACTGTCATATTTTGAGATAGCTAGGGTTTGACTGGCCAATCAGATTTTATATCAAAATAGAAAAAAAATGTACAAGGGTTGCTCCTATATTGTTATATAATTGATTGACCAATCAGATGTCATATTGTGAGATAGCTAGGGTTTGATTGACCAATTAACTGTCATATTGTGAGATAGCTAGGGTTTGATTGACCAATTAACTGTCATATTGTGAGATAGCTAGGGTTTGACTGGCCAATCAGATTTTATATCAAAATAGAAAAAAAATGTACAAGGGTTGCTCCTATATTGTTATATAATTGATTGACCAATCAGATGTCATATTGTGAGATAGCTAGGGTTTGACTGGCCGATCAGATTTTATATTGTGGGATAGCTAGGGTTTGATGGACCAATCAGATGTCACATGGAATAAGATTCAATTGACCAATCATAAAGGTTTTCTCCAGTTTCTTCCTGTACTAAGATCTTCTGAGTAGCTCCATCAGGATTGTCAACAATGATGGATTATCTTAACATCCCCTTAACACGAGAAGGTCATTTGGGCCGAGAAATAATAAATATGATTTCAAAGTTTGGTTTTGTATGTATGTTCATGAATAATTTGATTTTCCATAACATTGTTTTTTTCATGATAAGATTTTTATGCTTAAAAAATTCAGTTTTAAATTCAGGTGAGCTGTTCAAAGCACCTAGAATCTATCATCCGTCTGTCATCCATTCCCGGTCCTTAACCCATTCTTATTAAGAAGGATTTTCCCTAGTTCCATATGTAGGTCCTTCTTTGTCCCTAGTTCTCCTGTTTTGATTTTTGGACTGATAAAAGAAAATGCCCGACAGTTGGTCCTCTTTAATTTTGACGATGAAAGTTTCCTTCCCTTTTTTGTATGACATCTATTATAAGATTATTATTTTTTCATAAGAATAATTGAGTTGTTAATTATGTCACTATTGTTTGAATGCACTAAGTTTTATGGTCACTGATAATCACATTTTTTATTTCTTCATTGCTGTACTGGAAAATGAAAAAGTATTGTGAAACATGTTAGTTGTTTACTTGAAAATTTTAATATAAACTTTAAAATTTAGTCATCAGTCATAAATGCCTTAAACAGAAAATGGATGGCCAGAGTTAAATGACCAATTGTTTTGTTTTTTGTTGCTTTTCTCTCTCTCTCTCTCTTTTAACAGTAACTGTTAAAGCGATATTTAATGACTTCAAAATATTTCAACCAGTGAAAAAAAAACAATTTCCCCTCATATGCACTCCAGTCAGGGGGTAAAAAGAAAAGAAAAATATTGGTGTTGATTATGTTGTGCATTCTGTTGACAAACATTATGTTGTTTACTGCAAAAAAAAATAAAAATAATGTATTTACATATACCAGATATTGGCGCATGGACCTCTTAATAGCCAGATATGTTGGAAAGAACTTTTTTTTAATATTTTACATAACGTTCCTTTAGGATCTGGAAGACTAAACTGAACATCATGAGTTAGCACAGCAATGTTGGTAGTTTAAACAGTATCAGGTTTGGTATTGGTTACCTTAAACGCCATCCAGTATGTGACCATTCTGTTATTGATGTTGTCATAGAAACAATGAATGGTTGCACTTGATGAATTACACTGTCGATAAGGAATCACTTTCATTGTATTTCAGTTTAAATGAAGTTGTATTTGGCAAAACACAGCAACTTGGCAATGGCAGTGTAATTGTAACAATTATGAAATGTCATGTTTTGGCTGGTGGTTAGTGACAGTCTGGTCGTTATATAGTGACAGACTTGTCATTATATAGTGACTGGCTTGTCATTATATAGTGACTGGCTTGTCTTTATATAGTGACAGACTTGTCATTATACAGTGGCTGGCTTGTCAGTATATAGTTACTGGCTTGTCAGTATACAGTGACTGGCTTGTCAGTATAAAGTGACTGGCTGGTCGTTATATAGTGACTGGCTTGTCGTTATATAGTGACTGGCTTGTCATTATACAGTGACTGGCTTGTCATTATATAGTGACTGACTTGTCATTATATAGTGACTGGATTGTCATTATATAGTGACTAACTGGTGGTTATATAGTGACTGGCTTGTCATTATATAGTGACTGGCTGGTGGTTATATAGTGACTGGCTGGTGGTTATATAGTGGTTATATAGTGACTGGCTGGTGGTTATATAGTGACTGGCTTGTCATTATACAGTGACTGGCTTGTCGTTATATAGTTACTGGCTTGTCAGTATACAGTGACTTGCTTGTGGTTATATAGTGACTGGCTTGTCATTATATAGTGACTGGCTTGTCATTATATAGTGACTGGCTTGTCATTATACAGTGACTTGCTTGTCGTTATATAGTGACTGGCTTGTCATTATATAGTGACAGTCTGGTTGGTTTTTTTTTTTTTTATATATATATTTTATCATTTTGATAAACAGTTGTGGATTTCAATCAATTTCCCATCACTATCGTTACAGCAGATCATTGGTCAAAGAGCTTTATTGTATCATTGTATGTTTAACCCATCGATGCCTGAAACTTGAGCTGTTTTAGATAAACAATTTTGACTAGTTTGTTATAGTCATTTTGGTTTAGTATTTAAAAAGTTACCACCAACAGGGGCCTCGTTTAACAAATTTTAATGGAAAAGCTATTATTTTCAATAGTCAGTCTGGTCAATTTTTACAACTTTGCAATCATTTATAAAACAACCTCATTATGAGAGTCAAGAGATTTTCTGCTGATATTTGTAGTTTAAGTATGAATTCTGACATTTGATTTTCTCATATTTGATCAACTTATTGATGACTGTGTAGTTAAAGGGTCTTTAAAAGAACACATTGAAAACCATTTATATCTCGTGTTAACAATGTTATCAAAAATGCAATAATACACAGAAAGAATTGTTTTCTTGTATCTCTGTGAGTGCAACTGCATGTGCAATACCTATAAACCATATTTTTTGTAATAGGTAACCTCATTTTAAGCACTGACCCTCTTATGC